TATTCACACACACAGTATATGATGTTTTCACAGGTCTTGCAGAGACTGAGTGGCCTGGGCGCAATCAGATGCTAAAACACAGTCCTGTGACGTATTTCCTGGATGGAGCTCATACTACTCGCAGCATGCTGGCCTGTGTCCGCTGGTTCAATGAAGTCACACCACAACACGAGAGAAATGCTGGGTGAGAAGGCCTTACTCTTTTATTTGTATTCAGGGCCAGGAACTCAGACAGTAGAGCATGGTGTTTACCAAACATTACCAACGCCAGGTCATGGGTTCAATTCCCAGGGAAGTTGTGAACTGATAAAAACGTATAGTCGCTTTGGATAAAAGCGTCTGCTAAATGCATAAAGGTAAATAAGGACCAGAACGAACTGTTTTCTAAAATATCTTTATGATTGTTCCTTTAAGACTAAAAGGTTTAGATGCAAATCTAAAGGCATGTAGTAGAAACTCAAGAATATAATCAGTGGAGCAGTGCATTGGTTCTTGAACTGTGCATATCAGCAGACGGTGGGTAATTTTTGTTGGTGTTTAATGCTCTTTGTGTTTGTAGGGGTTCGGTGGTGAGGGTCCTCTTATTCAACGCTACAGGAGAGAGAGACTGTGCCGCTATGCTCAAACTGCTCGTAGTGAGTTATCAGTTCACATTTTTTTAATCATATTAATCTGCACTAAATTAACCAGACTCATGTTTGTTTGTATTATTTGTATTGAGTGTTAATTAGGGCTGCATGATATATCGAAAATATCAAAACATCGCAAATGTAAATATCGTGATATGCATATCGCAAGGGCGTGCGATATCTGAATCATTTTAATAATAGGCTACTTAAATCAAAACGTTGCAAAAGGTCAAAGTTTTAGTTCGATGCATATAGCAGAGAATTGCTTGACGTTAAAAAGAGTTAAGTGCAATAAGTTGCAGAAGACTCTGCCGTCTTGTCTTGCTGTCTGACAGACTCACACCCAAGCCGCATCTCACACAGCGTATCTTCCGTTCTGCCGCACACGTGCAAAGCGCGCGCGCACACACACAGAGACGTGTTTCAGACGGCGAACACCGAGTTGATTCGTATTTCGCATCTCCTCCTTATGTTTTAATCATGTTTGAACTTTCTCAGATTATATTTTTTGCTGTGGTATATGAAGAAGTACTTAGTGTATGGAAAGCAAAGTCACAATGATATAAAATTAGTGTCATTCGTTTTTTTTTTTTGTCATTCACATTGATGTTAAAATTACATTTTCTGATTTGTGACATTACTTTTTATGTACTGCTAAAACACTGCTGGTCACTTTCAGAAGTTGTAGTGATTCTTTCTTTTCCAAGAAAGAATGTGAAACAGATTGGTTATATCATTTAAATTTTTTAATATTTTAAAATATAATTTAAACAGATTTTTCACACTTTAAGCAATATCGTATCGCATATCGAATATCGCATTTTTTAACAAGGTATCGCATTTTTTTTCAATATCGCACAGCCTTAGTGTTAATGAGTGTTTTTTTCTTTTAGCCCTGTCACTTTGACTTTGCTGTGTTCTGTCCGAACATCACGGAGGCCATAGCGACCTGTAATGCAGGTAAGAGATGCTTCCAGTCACCGTCCTGTGTAAGAGATCCAGAGGCAGAAGATGATATGAGATCTAGTCAGTCAATAAGAGGTGATGATAGATGTTTAAAGTGGTTCAGGAACAAATTCTGTTTAAAAACTGTGAAGAGTGCTGACTAACTACACAACACTTTTTGCATAAATTGAACTTTTAGCATGAAGATTTTCAAATCAAATCACAAGATTTTATTTTGATTAGAATGCTGCATTACAAAGTATTTTTTATTTATTTTTTTGCCAACGTAGAAAGTGTAGTGATATTTTGCTAACGTACTCTATCCTTCAGACCAACAGAACTTTAATGTTTCTGTGGAGAACATGCTCACACGTTGCTTGGACAACCAGCAGAGCTGGCGTGTTCTGAATGGCCAGGAGGAGAAGCCAGAGGCGGAGCTTCTGATCGGAGGTGGTTTGCCATTGGTGGCAGAAAGACACACGGACACACTGGTGTTTCCCTGCATCCTCAGCGCCCTGCAGTGGATCAGTCAGGGAAGAGACTCTGCTCTGTCGGACCCAAACAAATGTGTCATACCCGTTAAACCTAGCATAAAAGCGAAAGCTGCTCCACTCCGAGAGGCTGTAAGCATACACGTCCTCATCACAGGTAGTTTACACCTCGTGGGAGGGGCTTTAAAACACTTGGACCCTTCTTTAAACTCATAATGGACATATGCACGTGTCTGCAGTGTCAGACAGACAGCCAAACACAGCAAGAGCACCACCTAGTGCCTGAACCCTATGTTTTGGTACTCAAAGGAGTAGTTCACCCAAAAATTAAGATTTGTTAAAAATGTACTACTCACCCTCAGGTCATCCAAGGTGTAGATGAGTTTGTTTCTTCATCAGATTTGGAGAAATGTAGCATTACATCACTTGCTCACCGATGGATCCTCTGCAGTGAATGGGTGCCGTCAGAATGAGTCCAAACAGCTGATAAAAATGGTGTGGATTATTGTGATGTTTTTATCAGCTGTTTGAACTCTCATTCTGACGGCACCCATTCACTGCAGAGGATCCATTGCTGAGCAAGTGATGTAATGCTACATTTCTCCAAAACTGTTCTGATGAAGAAACAAACTCATCTACAACTTGGATGACGTGAGGGTGAGGAAATTGTCAGCAAATTTTCATTTTTGGGTGAACTATTCCTTTAACAGTTCAGTATTAGAAGATTTACTGCAAATCATGGTTGAAATCTTGTCTTCTAGAATCCATGCATTCTATATCCTGAAGAGCATCGGACCAGTTCATCAGTTTATATAAAAAGCACATAAATCCGAATCTACTTGAGCTGTTTATGATTACTTTAATGGGATACTTTAATTTGAAGTACTTAAAGTGCATTCAGTTCATTTTCTGTGTAAGCTTCTTTGTTTTACACTACAATTTTGACGTTTTTAACTGGATCTTTCCATTCATGAAATAGAAAGTCAGGTTGCTTGTTCATCAGTGTTTGTGTTATTATTTTTTTATTGCACTGAAATAATGGTGCCATATATTAAACACTGTTCTCTAATCTAGTAACGTAATATTAATGTGTCATTACTCACACATGCATGGGAAAGTTTGCATTCATAAGTGGATGCAAAACGATGTTCAAAGCATGTCAACATTGCGGTGCCCACATCCGTTCATAGTGAACAAAAATGTGTTAAATGTTTTGTGTGTATATATATACATTAGAGGACTGGAGGTGTATAAAAATGGACTGTCAAATATGACTTTTTATGTTTCGAATATTAATGTAACTTAATTTTTTTTGTAGCATTTTATGTACTGTAGCAGACAGGAAAGTGTGTAGTCTAGATACAAACTATTTTCAAATGCAACCTGGATTTTTGAATATGGTAACTTGGTTTTGGGATAATTTGTTATATATGAAAGATTGGATAATTAATATAACAATAATGTAACTAGAAATTGGTTTTGATCAATAAATATTATACCACCCTTGTCTTAAAGTGCCATAGGGTGCTATTAAAAATCTTTGAGTACTGTACATAACAGATGGAAAATAAATAAAAATAAAAACTGAAGAATTTTGTGTCTGTATTATATAATACTTTTTATTTATTTGTATGCATATACAGTTTCTAATTTCCAGTTTGGTTAATGAGATAATTTATAAGCGTCATATATGTGAACATTTAGTACATAATCATTAATAGATTTCGACCTACAGAACAATAAAAAAAATTGTTTAAATACCTTTGACCGCAGAGTAGCTTTATGTAATAACTGCGGATCTTCCGGGCGGCAGGTGGCGGTAGAGTTTTTTTCTTTCCGCGGTTGAATCCGTCCTGCGGACCGCAGAGGAACAGCAAGGATGCAGCGCGACAAAACCGTAAGCGCCAGCGGTGGGGATAAGTACGAATATTTTAATAATATTCTATCTCTTGTCAGTCGTTTAAAGTATTACAAACTCGATTTTGTTTATCTTTAACATGTCAAGCACATATGCGTACTGTTTAAATGTAGTTAGTCATTTAAATTACGGTGTAAAGCTGATATTTGTGCGTGTGGGTTTGGTTTTTTGTCTTTGTCGGGCCGAATGAAGATCGCGAAATCACCCACACAACCCAAACAGCCTCATAAAACACGAAATATGGTCGTATTCAAAACATACATTTGCCAAAATGCATCTGTACGAGTCTTGTCATTATAATTAGCTCAATAGAAGAACATCAGATGGTAAACAGAGCTCTTCATCGTGTATAAAAACAAATATGCCTGCTGTGTGTGTTTAGGCCGGACAGAGAGACCGCCATCATGTCAAAATACTATGATGGGGTCGAGTTTCCCTTCTGTGATGAATTCTCTAAATATGAGAAGCTGGCAAAGATCGGCCAGGGCACCTTCGGGTGAGTAACGTTATTTGGTGCTTGTGTAAGTAAATTTAGCTTCAGCCTTAATGTTTATAACTGCTGTAATCCACTGTCAGGAAAACAATGATATGATGTCTATGGAGAACTATGTCGTTAAAGGTTAATAGTTCACCCAAAAATTAAAATTAGCTGAAAATGTACTCACTCTCCGGCCATCCAAGATGTAGATGCGTTTGTTTCTTCATGATTTAGAGAAATTCAGCATTACATCACTTGCTCACTAATGGATCCTCTGCGGTGAATGGGTGCCGTCAGAATGAGAGTCAAAGCAGTTGTTAAAAACATCACAATAATCCACAAGTAATCCACAGCACTCCAGTCTATCAATGAATGTCTTGTGAAGTGAAAAACTGCGTGTTTGTAAAAAAGAAGAGAAAAGAAAGGTATCAACATGTTTTTAACTTCAGACCGATTCCTCTATCCATAATATTGTTTTCTCCAGTTAAAAAAAAAAAATAGTCTAATCTGAAACGGGAGAGAAATATACACAGATCAAGAACTATTTTAGTGAAATCCGTATAAAATGTTTCGTTATTATGGATTGTGGACTCGTATTTTGGCTAGAAGCAACTATTTAAAGGTAAAAAAATTTTAATGATGGATTTGTTTCTTATAAACATGTTGCTTTTCACAAGACATTAACTGATGGACTGGAGTGGTGTGTGGATTACTTGTTGATTATTGTAATGTTTTTATCAGCTGTTTGGATTCTCATTCTGACGGCACCCATTCACTGCAGAGGATCCATTGCTGAGCAAGTGATGTGATGCTAAATTTCTCCAAATCTGATGAAGAAACAAACTAATCTATATCTTGGATTGCCTGAAGGTGAGTAAATCTTAAGCAAATTGTCATTTGGGGTGAACTGTTCCTTTAAACCTCATGCTATATTTTGGTTTAGAAGTAACCAGTGTGATTGCTGGTTGGATTACCCATAAGGTTGAGTGATTCAGTGATGTATTCTGTCTGTAGGGAGGTGTTCAAGGCCAAACACAGACAGACGGGGAAGAAGGTGGCTTTAAAAAAAGTACTTATGGAGAATGAGAAAGAAGGGGTGAGAACATAAAGCTCCATCCTACATTGAAATCAAGTTTCACAATTATTGGAGTCTTGATTAAAAATTCAGATTTGTGTTCTTCTCCTCAGTTTCCCATCACAGCTCTGAGGGAGATCAAGATCCTACAGCTGCTCAAACATGAGAATGTGGTGAACCTCATTGAGATCTGCAGGACAAAAGGTGAAGACCTACACAGTCTTGTCTTTATTAAGCCTTTCTGTGGTGTATCTGCTGTCATAAGATACACAGCTGCTTTTTTAACATGGAAATTTAGCATAAAAACATTAATGTGCTGATCTACAAATTCCTACAGTCATAGAAAATCTGGAATTATCAAGGAATATACCTGGAAAATTCATTTAAATTAGTTTTTAAAAAATTATGGACACTTTAAAAAAATTTTTTGTATTTTTTTTATTTGCTCTGCTGAATATTTCATCAGTTAGACAAGCAGGTGTGATTAATATCAGTCTGTCCATCGAGGGTCTTATTGGAGACATTTGTACACTAAGTACAATTATTTCTTATCGGAGAAAGCATTCTCTGCAAAATTATTTTTAATAGATAAAAGAGTTCGGTTTATTATACACACATGCTGCATATCGTCTGTCGATTTAAATGCATGAGCTCTTTAAAGTCTGTCAATTCTGATTGACTCTGTGTTTATTGTTCATCAGCTGGAAAAAGTGATTCCAACAATATCATTCCTCAGTGTCGTTAAACTTTAAAGTTATAGTGATCACTATAGTAATCAGTTATCGTCCTTCCTTGATGTGATTGGCCCTTCTTCCAGTAATCATTTAAATTTATTAGTCAAAAAGTGTTGGACCCCTGTAACTATGACTAGAGTTCCTGTTACTCACCCTAAATCAAACATTAGACAGTGTGTTAAATTACATGGTCTTGCTTTTGATTGGAGGAATATGGATTATTATAAACATTTATCTCCTCTCTTTCCCTCCAGCCACCCAGTTTAACCGTTACAAGGGCAGCATCTATCTAGTGTTTGATTTCTGTGAGCACGACCTCGCTGGACTGCTGAGTAACGCTAATGTTAAATTCACTCTGGCTGAGATTAAGAAGGTGATGCAGATGCTGCTGAATGGACTTTACTACATACACAGAAACAAGGTGAGACAACATACAGTTTGCCTGGTAATATTCCCAGAGTATTTGATGTAAATATGACAAAGAAACAGGCTCAGAGTTGTCACTGTGATGTTTAAAGTCTCAGACTGAAGTATTTTGTGTGTTTGTGTCAGATCCTCCACAGAGACATGAAAGCAGCCAATGTTCTGATCACCAGAGATGGCGTTCTGAAGCTGGCTGATTTTGGATTGGCCAGAGCTTTTAGTTTGGCTAAGAACAGTCAGGGGAACCGCTACACAAACCGGGTCGTCACACTGTGGTACCGACCGCCTGAACTGCTGCTGGGTAAGTGAAACCCAGTTGAAACACTTGTTGTTGGATATAATTATTGTTTTTTCACTTTGTATATTTGTGTTTTTTAGGGGAGAGAGACTACGGGCCTCCCATAGATCTGTGGGGTGGAGGGTGTATCATGGCAGAGATGTGGACCAGAAGCCCCATCATGCAGGGCAACACAGAACAGCACCAGCTCACACTCATTAGTCAGCTGTGTGGCTCTGTTACTCCTGAGGTAACGCACAGAACCACACTTTAGACCGCTTTACACATGGTATTCACATCTACTTTGGGTAATCAGATCACAAGTAGCCAACTGAGACAGATTACTGTTTAGATTCAATATTAACATGTTCAAATATTTCTAAAGTGTCTACTTGAGGGTTTAATTTCATTATGTGGTATGAATTTTTTTCCTTTTTGTTTGCAAATATTTACATTTTAATAA